TGATTGTTGACTATCTCATAATGCGCGTTTTCTTCGCAATTTAATAGACAAACGATGTGGAGTATTCATAAAACAGGATTGTACATCAGAAAATACAATTTTATGTTTTATTCAGACGTTGTATAGCGGACGGTATTATATAACTCAGCGAAGCAATATGGCGTGAAGACGCTGTTCTGTCCTCTCTGGTCAGTCTGTGTACAGATACAGGGCGGGGTAAAAACACCAAGCCAAAACGCGCCACCTATACATAAGAAACAGCGTCCAGAGCCATCTTGCATTATATAATATCACGTACAAGTAACAAAATGTAAATTTTTCCGTTTCTGAGTGCACATTTCTTGGTATTACCTTACGTCTTACATACCAACTTTTGATTTACACATTTGCTTTACTAAGGTGTGTATGTTACATATTCATCAATGTCATGTACTTTTGTTTGTTGTATTATACTTGTACTGTTTTAATCTTTGATATTTCATAGATGCCACAGCCGTCCGCGAAGAGGCAAAAGACAGCGACGACTGATGCTGAGCAGAGGGAGCGCCTGCAGCGCGATTATGGAGTTGCACTCAACCGGGTGCGGGAGTTGGAGGATCTACTTACCATCTCCATCAAGGACTACAACAGCTGCGTGCGTCGTCTGGAAGCGGAGCGACACTTGAAAGCGACGGTGCGCTCCGATGTTACTGCAACGGCAGACGAAACCATCAGTCACGCAGTCGAAAACGTTACTTTTGGGGGGCGTATAGTAGAATTTTCTACCAATATCATAAAGTTTCAGGATGATGCCGTCAAAGCGCGCGACTATGTGAAGAACATCGAGAGTGTTTTGTTATCATACAAAAGTCGCATCATCCCCGCCAATATCCCTAAAAATTTAAGGGATGCCATAAAGCTCGACGCTATCAAACGGTATCCCGATCCAAAAAATCGGGATCGGGATGAGGCGCTCGAGGACGCCTTATGGGTGTACCGCAAAACCACTGCTGAGAATGAGCTTGCTGATGCCAAGCAAAGAATAGCGCAGCTCAAAAAAGACGAAGAAGCAGAGCTAAGCAAAATAGCCGCCTTGTACGGAACCACCCGTACCAATCTGCTCAAGTTAGCCTGCGCACAGCGCTACGCTGACTTGAAGTATGATCGGACACTCAACTGGTTTCTTATCCATCTGTCGGTCACGGTGCCCATTACAGCGACGACCGGCAGCATGCAAGTCACGCCGACCACCGACGGTATTCTGACAGGTTAATGATCCGGCCGCAGCGGCGGTGGTAGTGTTTATCGGCATGACGGCGGCGGCGGTGGTGGTGGTCGGCATGGGCGGCGATAGTCGCGATGGTGTTAGTGGTGAAGGGGTGTATTATGTATTTATTATATGCTTGCTAGATCTTACACTGTGTAAGTGTTGTATAATTTGTTTTACTGGTTGTCTTAAGTGTAATACATACTTCCGATGTTCATAATATTGTTAGTTATTATTAATAAAATCAGAGAAGACGGTAGTGCTCTCGTCTGTAAAATACGAGTATATAAGTACACATACAAAACATATAGGCGCAAGTGCCACTGTAGCTGTACACTACGCCAGAGTTACGGACAACAGGCACTCTCCGCTATTTTCCCGGACACGGTCCGCTATTTTCTCGGACACCCTTCCTCCACGGAATGGTCCCTTCTTCTAGTATATACTCTGAACACGTACGTAAAGTACTTACTGGATATAAGAATATACATGTATCTATATTGTAGCGTACATGTGTTTAGGTTATGGTGACCACTCTTTAAAAACAACTTCTTTCCAATTTCCTTTAACGTAACAATGCCGGTCTCACACCAAGTGCCAAAAGTCTCACATGCAAAGGGGACAAAATTATAGCGATCAGTAAGCGACTTGTATTTTCCAATCTTCTCCCGGCAAGCCAGTTCGGCGGCGGCGCCAGCACACTTTGAAGTCGCAACAATGTATGAATCGCACATCGTGTTTCTGCACGTCACGACCAACACTAACGGCTGTCCGCGGTACCATTTCCATTTCTAGAAACAGAAAAGAAATTTCGATGGTTAAAAAAGGAAGGAAATTTTTGCGGCCAAAAAGGCATTAGATTTCTGATGGTCCAAAACAAGAGGAAAAGTTTTGTAGTTGCACTTGATGGTCTGTACGTTTCAAAAAAAAGTAAATGAAGTAACTATTTCAAAAAAAAGAAATAATGATAGTAGTTAACGATGCCGCTAATTAGTAGAGTGATAATTATGATATAGTACCCTATAATACTCGTAATTAGTGATTCTAGCATCATACAACTGATTATTATTAGTATTATTCTAGAATTATTTAGTATTAGCTAACTACAGATCTGTATTATATTATTTTGTTGATTAAATGCTTATCATGCATACTTGGTACTTCCACGCAAGCTAGTTAAAATAATTGCTACAACTGTGATTGCTCATTAACAAGGTGGTCGCAGCGTTTTATAGCAGTTGCATGTGCATAAAGTTTCTGACCAAGTGAACTTTTTGTTTCTACTACCATGCGTCACATGATAGGGGTAAAAATAATTAATAGTTAGCTAAATAATTATTTAGTATCAGCATTTGTCTAAGTAACTGGCGAACAGTGTATCTGATAAATTAAAATAAGCTGTGAGCTTAGTAAATACTCGTATGATGGATTGAACTGGGACCGGTAACTTTTCACGGTAGCAACTCATATTAATTGGAAGATGTATCGATTGCATTTAAAGTTTAACGAAACGGTAAAGAGTCTTTGGCGCTTTACGAATAACCCACTCGAAGGAAATATGTGATGCATCAATGGCGTGCGACATCTGGTCTTTCACGACGTTCAAACTTCAGTTTTTTCTGCTCTGCATGATTCAGCACATCAAAGGGCATTTCTTTAATACCTACTCTAGGTTATTTTTTCTCACGATATGCGTAGCACATAAGTGCACGGGTAATTACTTCTTCTCGACAAATATTTTTAGCTGTAACGCTTATTGCAGTTGCATTACGTACTTCATTTACTATTTTTTTGAAACGTACAGACCATCAAGTGCAACTACAAAACTTTTCCTCTTGTTTTGGACCATCAGAAATCTAGTGCCTTTTTGGCCGCAAAAATTTCCTTCCTTTTTTAACCATCGAAATTTCTTTCCTATTTTTGACAAAAAAACATTGCTTCCTTTATTTATTCCTTCCTCAATGGTTCCAGACTCAGACGTGAAGTTCTCAGCATTTCAATAGTTATACACTGTACATGGTATTTACAGTCATAATTAAAATGGATTTAGTTTTATTTTGGCCGGAAATGTCGAATAGCGGCTGTAATTATGGTTAAGTCTTTCTTTTCAACATTCGTGTTGATGCAGTTACACTAGTACAAAGTACAAACGTCCCGTATTCGATTACCGCATGGGTTGTTGCCAAATAAACTCTTGCAGTTGTACTTTACTTTGTTTTAGCGTTGCTTGTAATAGGGGGATTCGCTGGACCATATGGCGCATATTTCCGGTCAAGTGTTAAAAGTTATCGAGATATTACTTTAGCAGTCTTAGGAACACTCAGCATTTTAATGGTCAGACTCAGCCTTTTAGTACTCAGACTCAGCCTTTCAGTAGTCAGACTCAGCCTTTTAGGGGTCAGACTCAGACTCAGACTCAGCGCTTCAGCGCGGGCCGTATTACGTGGTCGACCGCGCGCCCTTATCGCGGCCGCCACCTCGTGGGGTTACATGCATACCTTTCACGAGCTGCTTTTTGAGATTAAATTTTGAGGTTTTGCTGCTGCAGTAATGCCACAAAACCTTTGTAATTTGTTATTTTTGTAATTTGTGTTATAAAATTTTATCAGTCTTATTTATTTTATAGTTTGCTAATATTTGTAATTAAAAGTCACATTAGTTAATTTGTTTTACGAAGCCACCGAAATACAATTGATTGTTTTGTTAAATGCCTGTATGAACTGGAGAGTAGAGAAGCACTAGAGAGATACAATCTGAAGTGGAAAACTACTTCGGTAGTATGTATGCAAGTGCAATTAATAAAAAAAATATTTTAAAAATACGTGGTATCAATAAAATTTTTTGTGCAGTTGCGTTGTGTCAGGTGGCAATGCAATTATGCAGTGACGTTACTTGCAGTTGTGTCCACTGGTGGCGGCTTATTACTGCTTCAAATTACAAACATGCGCTTCAGTGCTCTAGTGCAGTAGGTAACTTTTTGACCAACTTGAAGTGTCCCGTAAGTTATATTAAAGATCCAAGTTATAATCGGTTGTCATAAAAACTTTTTTGTAAGTTTAGGCTAACTTTTCATGCACTTCTTTTCGTAACTGGATGTTTTTAGTAACTTTCCTTTTCACGAGGGGTCTAGCTTTGATGTCATTGTTAGGTCTAAATGTACAGGTATATAATTTATATCTCAAGGTACAGGTATATAATTTCTTAAAAGCTTCGTTTAAAGAAGTAACGAATGTCCTGTAACGAAGAAGAAGTAACGAATGTCCTTATAGAAGAAGTAACGAATGTCCGAACGAATGTAACGAACGCATACGAAGTAATGAATGTCCTAATATGCGTGTTAAAGCCTGCCTGCCACATACTGTTTTAGGTTCATGTTTGTCGAAACGCTTAGGAAAAGCAAATGTGTCTTACCAAATGAGTAGTGATGTGCTACTACTGTACAGCTTTCTCCAACCTTACTTACTATTAATAACCGCTTAAAAAAAGTTACTTACTTTTACTTACTATAATGATTCAAAAATTTTGAACTACTATTACTTACTATTACTTACTATTTTAATCTTTCCTTTCAATTTACTTACTAATTATACTAATTAAAATTAATAAATAATTTTTTAATTAGCAATTTCAAATAAATGTCGTAACTGAATCCACTGGAGTTAAGACAGGCTAGTACAATTGCCATTTAATCGTCATAAGAACAAAATTAGCACCGCAATAATCTACCCAGAATCTCATCTCAACTACTAAGATATCATTCTTCATTCATTGATGGGTCGGCATAACGCATATTTTTCTGCAAAAAAACTTTCATTTCCAACCGGGAACCGTTTATACGATTTCTCCGACCGCTGCTTGTGTTGCCTGCAGCTGAAAACAAGCGTTCGACGTCAGCCGTGCTACTGCCAATAGCAAAAATGTCCAAAGCCACAGAACTGAGAAGAGGAAATAAAGCACTGTGCTGCATCCAGTACTTCCTTGGGTCATAGTTTTCGTCAATTTGTGCAGACGCCGAACTCCCGCAGTAAGAATCCCTTTCTTTGATAAGCTTCGCAGTTCCACTTTGCCTTTCTTCTGGAATAGCTGCGCGTAAGGGGGCGAGCGTCGCCAGATAAGACAGCTCAGTCGTTTTCTTTCTTTTAGAAGCTGATATCTCCATCTCCACTCCATTGGCACCCACCGCCACTGAGATTTCTCTTGATGTCCCTTGGCACGCATTTTTTCGGAGCAAAAAAATTCTTGTCGTTTCATCACGAGCCGCTTTAATTTCATTTACTGTCAGAAAGTCTTTGAACCAGACGTGCAAGAAGTTGGCTGCCAGGTAGATGGGCCTGTACTTCGCATTAGCTTCGTCCACAACGTACGCGAACCGTAGCACCATTTGCTCTTTCATTTTTTCAACGACTTCGCTAAAAATCGATTCCATGCCGAAAGAGTTCAAGTCCAGGAAGATATCTAACGCCGACTGATTTTCCAAGTGGGAGTTAATTTCCTTGACATACGGTAAAACCATATGGATTGTAGCCGATTTCTCCGAACTCATTTTATCAGTAATCTGCAAAACCAATACAGATGCACACTGAAATAACCAAAGTATAAAATTATTACCACTAATTTTTAAATAATGTTTTAGGATGTCGAAAGGTCGATCTAATGCATTGAGCGAAAATATTTTAAGATGCAGTACTCGTATAGCGTATATACACTATACAGCATAATAATAGAGTACGAGAAGCAAGTGCAACTGCTTTATATTATTTACATATTAGGCTACGTCAACGATGTGTAAACCTATCTTGTTTTGAAAGATTACTACAACGACAAGAATTGTAGAATTATTTATTTTCATACAATTTAAGCTCTTACTGTATCGAATTTTCCCAGCAAAAGTTCGATGCCCTCCAAAATTTTCCATTCCTCCGGTGTGAGGTCAGATATCTTCAGGTTTTCTTCTACAATAACTTTTCGCACATCCATTTTCAGCTCCAGTAAACGGCAAACCATTAGCAGAGTAGAATTCCATCGCGTAGATACATCGCAGATCAATTTTCGTCCCGCACTGCGAATTAATGCCGTAGTAGCGTTGGCGGACTTGTTGAACGCAGAGACAAGAAACCGCACTTTCTTCATTACGGGCTTAACTTCTTCCGATTTTTCAAAAACCTTCACCACAAGTTGCAGGGTGTGAATAAAACAGCTGTGGCGGTTATAGTCTGCATACAGTTTATTTTCGTTGTCCTCGTAATCTAAGAACTGTTGAGAATCAAGATCTATGGCTGCGCCGTCCGGTAATGGTTCGCACGTGCTTAACATGTACATTTCGTCGGAATCTTCACAAGGAAATTCTTCTTCATCCCGGATTACCAGCTTTGCGCTAATGAAGTTTTTGAAGGCGCAAACCATTTTTGAGCCGTTATCAGTCAGAATAGCAATCACTCGTTCGGGAGTAATCTTCCATTCATCTAAAATTTCTTTCACCAGCGCATACATTTTTCAGCCGTGTGTGGGGAGGGAAAGCTGCGGCACGCAAGTGTACAGCTGCGGGTTTCTTCGGTAGCTGCGTCAACGTAGTGAGCATTCACTCCCAAAAACGACTCTGTCATGCCCTTTTTGGTCCAGATATCTGCAAAATGTGCACAACAACGTCTAAAAATTTCACTTCTCTTTACAGCACTGAATTTAAGAGATACATCGGAATGATAACTAAAATTAAAAAATTAAATTTAGCGGCAAAATGTACCTGTACTAAGCGCAATGAGTCCTGCGTTATCCAGTTCAGCCTGCATTTTCTTTTTCGTGTCTTTCCACACATTTGTAATTTCCGTTGTGAGTCGTTTTCGTCCGATATCTGGGCATCGCGCATCCAACACTTTGCTGTATTTGCGAAATCGTTTATGCTCCACCAAACTAAACGGCGACGTGGTATCCGCAATCAAGAGTGCTGTCTCGCGCAGTATTATATTATACCTAAAAATTGTTGGCCGAATTAAACCAGATTTTGAGATTTCAAAGTCACAGTTTAAAAGAGCATCCTTAACAGGAACAAGTAGACGACAAAACGGACTACTAAACAATAATCGTTGAATTGCACAGACGGACATAACACTGACAGCAGTACTTTTGTTTCTACGAGTACTGTGTATACTGTACACAAAATATTATCTTTAGAAAACCAAAACTACTAATACAGAAGAAAAAAATGACTGCTATCCTTTTAATATGAAATACTTTACTTTATAATTTATCTGAAATCATTATAGCTAATGCATTACCGCGGTTCGCCGGGCGATACGCTTCTGGGTTCTTCGGAAACGAAGTCAAGGTGGTCTGTATCCCGCCTTTCTTCTCATTCACACTCTTTCTTTCCGCTTCTTTAATGCCGTAATCCTTGAACTGTTCAGGATGCCGGCCGCGCAGATGAGTAACAAGGTTGCCAGTGTTTTTTCCATTAAGCGAATATCCGCACCCACTAATCAAACATTTCGAGAGATTTGTCGATGGCAGGTACTCGAAATACTTCCAGACTGCAGAAACCACTGCGCGCCCAAAATCGCCGCTTTTACGATTCGTCTGTAATGAGTCTGCTGATGATACAGACGAAGGGGAAGGCGGAGGCATTGGAGACATGGGAGAAACAGGTCCATCATCGTCGATATCAGATATCACTACAGAGGTCTCCGGTGCTGATTCTTCTGCAGAGCTGACATTTTGGGCGACGGTTTTGGAAACTTTACGCTTAACTTCAACTTCTTTTAAACGGAGCATGATACTCCCTTACGAGTAAAATAGAAAAACAGTTGGGGACTGTAAAATACAAGATACCAGAGACAAACTATAGATCCAAAACGGCACTCGTATCCGTGCGAAATAATTAGCTATTATGCAATACAACGCTTATGGAGTGCGACTGTGCGAGTGTGGTATGGGAATTGTTTTTTTTAACGGAACCGCCGTGCCAAGCTCGTAAACACATCCGAGGCACGTAGCAAATATCACCCTTCATGCTAGGGCAACCACTTGCCTCGTGCAGCAGCCAGCAAAATAATAGGAATTTCCAGTGTCACATTAAATTAATTACTTCGTAATTTTTATTTTAACGTTTTTTTAAAAACGATTTAGTAATTGGAATTAATAAAGTATTTAATTTTAAGATAAACAAAGCTTACTATTTACTTACTATTTACTTTATCAGTAATCTAGTTACTTACTTTTACTAACTTTACCTCCGGAACTTTACTATTTACTACACTTTTAATTTTAGGCAAGTATTTACTAATTAAATAGGATTTATTTAGTTTTATTTAGTAGCACAACACTACTTGAAATGAGCCGTTGTGAGTGAACTTCGCCAAGTACTGCGCTTCATCACATACACAAGGTTTCCATTTTCCACTCGAATGGGATAATTTTCGCACTCCATATCCAGCAATTTTATCCACAAGCTCCACAAGGCCGGGTCAACACCGGCTCCGGCACAGTATATTCGCGGCAGTGGACAGGATCGCGTGCAAAACTTTTTCTCCTTATCCCGTGGATTTTCTTTATAATTCTCCAACCGAACCGCTGTAGCATTGACGTATCGGTCGAGGAATACGTCGCCGAGCTGGACGCGAATAAACATGCAGCGGTTCCACAGTACCCGCCGCAGAAGACATTTTGCCGGGTACCAGGTCCACGGGCGGTCGGACGCGGTCCGGGCTAAAACCTGCAGCGGTGTCCGGAGGTCCCAATTGTCCCCGTATTCCGCGTCTGACGGCGCAACGAGGTGGCAGTCTTTTCTCTGAGAACTAAGACATAACCGTGCTGCATCGTTATTCACCAACTGAGAGCGTCGGCCGGGACAGTCAAAGTCCACGATGAGACCGTTGCGAGGGGCGTCAACGACCAGACCATATTGGAGCAGTCCATCAGGGCCCGGTACATCGACCGCGTTCCAGCGGAAAATATCGTGCCGACACTGCCGAGGAAATATTTCCAACATCTTTTCTGCATAAGTTAGCTCTGCCGCCACTAAAATCTGAGCCGTTCTTTTAAATTTTTAATGGCAGACGAAAAGACTGCTAGTACGGCTTAGCTACTTAATATCAGTTAGATGCTCTTGAGACTTTCTTTCCACAATGGCTTCAACTGGACTGAATACACTTCAACACAGCTATGGTACTGACAAAGGATAAAGGAGTTTCAGCAAATTAGCAACTGCGACATCCGTGTACAGCATCCTCTTTTATGATGTTTTAGCACGATTGGAGTTACATAATCTCATGCAAGACACAATCCGCGCATCCAGGCAAATGTCGTGCAACCATCCGGGCGGCGTTCGTTAAAGTAACAAGATTAGATTATGTAACACGAATTGTGCTAGTTGATCAGTCAAGCGGATGCTGTACTTGGATGCTGCAGTTGCAGACCCTCTACTTTCAGTTCTCAGTACCAAAGCTCTGTATTCAGTCTAAGCCATTATATACAAAATGAAGGCCACGTCTGCAGAGCATCGAAGTTACAACCACGCCGCTATTTTTTGCATCTGGCGTGCCTTTTAGGAAATTGTGTAAAACAGCCGGCTAAGATATAAGCAGCGGCAAGCGGGCAAAGCCAATAGTTCTATGAATTATTGGAAATATTGCAGTTGGGTATTTAACCAACTGTTTCGCCGTTGTTTGCCAAGATACTGCGCATCCGAAAATTACAACCACTTCCTGCATCGTGCATCAAACTCAGTTCGTCGCCCGACTGCCCGTGTCTGACAGAGAACCAAGTTTCTTCGGGAAGAGTGAAGGGTTCCTGTACGGAACACATTGCTTCCTTCGACCAGGCCCATCGGCTGCGTGACGTCCATTTCCTTCCCAAGTTTGTGGCGCGCGCGTGCTCCGTCGTGTTGGAGAAGCGTGAGGGTGTGTGTGATGAAAGTGTCCACTGTAACCGTTACTGGTGGTACTTCATGATAATGCGCTGGAATCTACACAATTCGTGTGCCCGACTCACTTGGGCAGAGTCTACAGGTTCCCCATCGGGTGTCGTATGTTTGCGCGGGTGGGAAACGATACAGTCACCTTCATCTGCGCGGAAGTGCAAGGTGGTGCTACTGGAAGCAGCTTGTTCTGGACCAGCGATTCGCTGGAAGAAGCCGGCCGCAACTGCCTTACCGAGCAACAGTCGCGGCCAGGCATTGCCGTCAAGGGTTTGACAATGGGTATGCTCCTGCATGGTACGTACCGTGACTCAGTAACGCGTAACTACGGTAGATAAATGAAGTCAAGTACTTAGTGCTTACTATAGTCAGTATAGTGTGAAAGGGCTGAGAGCCATCCGTTTGACATTATCCATCGCATACACACTTAAGGGCGGCTGCCATGGTGACAGATACGTGTTTTTGTCTATTTTCTCGGCAGATTCTCTCACCTCTTTTATTTCCACCCACCCAATTATAGGTTTCTATATTCAGTATAACCTTTTAAAATATGAGAAAGCTTTTGATGAGAAAAAAACTTTAGAACATCTTTTAAGTGGGACAATACTATCTGTAGAACTATGGTAAGCAATAGCACAGCCGTGCTTTCTTTATGCGACAGTGATAACGTGGTCGACCGTTGCTTAGTCCGTTCCCTGTCCTTACAATGTTTGATAAAGTTTGATGAAGTTTAAATTCTCTCTGAAAATTATTTGCTATACAGTGTACCCTGTTCCAAAAATTTCTGTTATACAAGAGTAGTCAGACTGATTTCCGAGATTATTTAAAATGAAATGACTGCCCACCTCTTTTGTTTGTTCTTTTTGCAGATGTGGAAGAAACTTGCCTGGATGAGCTTGCGCATCCGACTCTAGCTGACATTCTTCTTAATCTGGATGTAGTTACCCAGACCCAAATGAACCGGTATGTCAGCTGCTCGTACTAAAATCTTATTGAAAAATTAAATTTTCTCCAAATAAACTTACTAAAATGCTGATGCAGCGATGCCGATAGAGCATCGTAACTCGTAACTTCAATTGCTTATTTAAAGTCATTGTACGCATTTCGTAACACGGTAGGCTTCTGGTTAATTATGTAATAGTCACGGTTCAGTTTTCTTTCTTTGTCATTTATCGATCGTCTGAATTTATCTGATACCAGAATTTATTAATCTCTTTCCAATAACGCTATAAGAATATCAAGAGTCTGTTACCCTTAAACAAAACACCGTTTTCCATAGTTTCAATAACAGAAAGATCAGGGTTGTGTTCGTTTTAATCAGGGTGTGCCCACTGTGGATCGAGAATACGCCAGTCGTCAGTATATTATCATCGACATTCGCCGGCTGTGCGGACGGGAATCCGAGACGGCGGAATTCCGTTTTCACTACTACAGCTTCCGTTATAAACTCGTCACGATCCTGGACCGAACCGTTTCGCCGTGCACACAAATAGTGGCTTTAATGGAAAGTGGTTCGGCTACGGTATCAGCTGGAGAAAGGTCGACGTCTTCGTTCAGACTGTGGATTATCAAAAAGTTTTTAGAAACAAATGGGTTTCGCATCAAGTTGATCATCGGCAAAAACCTCCGTGATGATGTGTTTTGTGCGGACGGGTTTGATGCGGACGGGCGCGTTCTGGATCTTCAGCGGAATTCCCAGAACGGGACGTATGAATGCAAGAAAATGTCGCAGTTGCTGACAGTGTGCCAGGAAGTGGTGCTAGTCAACTACACCGCATGCAACCTGACCGGGACGGTCTCGCTGCTGAAAAGGCTATTCGACAGTGGTAGCGCGGCCTGGCCGGAAGTAGCTCCAGAGCGCCGGCGATATGAAGACCATGGTGAATTTGATGCGCTCATTCCGCTCATGCGCTTCCGCTGCACGGAATCAGCGGCACAGCTGTGCCGGTACTATGTAACAGCGTTAAACGCTAACTGCCCGGACGTTTCCCAACAGACCTGCGAAAAGGTCAAGCGTATGCACGCACGCTGGGTGCGGACGTTGGCTTACCTCGCTGAATGGATTGCTGTCCGCTGCTTCTTTACACTGTGAGCAACAGGAAATTCATAAAGAACAAGTAAAATGTTGCTTCGTTCGTCAAAATAATATGTGATAGTCCGAGAATATCGATCATTGTTGGCAATTGTTCATGATTGGTTCTTGTTGCAGGTTTAATTTAGTAGTTTTCGGCCAGAGCACGGTGAAGAGTGGTGGGATACAGTGGACTTGCGCGAATTTGACGTGTCGAAGCTCAGCAAGGTGGCCGTACACATCCTGGATGGATGCTACAAAGACGGCAACGGGAGTGAACTCAGCGAAGATTGTCAAGCCTGATTAATGATCATTCTAGGATGCCCCTTATAAAACGCTAGGCAGTGTTTTGTTGAAGCTACCGCCTAGGTGGCGTTGTGACATTTTGCGTTCATTTGTGCTTCGGCTTTGCTTTAGGACTTTTGAGTCTTTTGCGTTTTGTGATACCCAACTAATTCAAGAAATTCACAACTTTATGAAGTTCTGTACGCACACTTTATGTAAATCCACAACTGTTTAGGCCCTTTTTCTTCAGCAACATACTTAAAAGATATAAGGCCAGACATTACATGTGAGAGTGAAACAGCCCAATTAAGTAATTGAATAATGTTTTTTTCTTATCAGCACACTAGCTGGAATGTAAGGAACACATTCCGTGTGTGAAAACCTTATTAAAACTCAGTATGAGGGGAGGGGTTGGCTTTCTCGTCGGGATTGCAGTAACAGCCGGGATAGATGCCGTGCTGAAAACAACTGCTTTATCGAAGGAAAAACTGGCAACCAATGAAATGCTTAATGTTATTCTGTATTAAAACCCATTAAAATTTACTACGATTAATCTGTTTACTGCAATTTTCAAGTAAACACTTGAGAAATTTATTTCCAAATAAATTTTGGAGAAGTGTAAATTTATTTATAAATCAAGCTTGGAATAGTGTACTTACTAAAATACTGTACGGAATGGAAGTCGAACTATAGACCGTATCGGACACACTATTCAACAGCATATCTACTGTATAAACTAATTAATTTATTAAATTCACATTAATTAATTAATTAATTAACTGTTAAATTAATTGATTAATAAATTTACTAATTTATGGCAAGAGATAGTAACTTAGAATAGTAATTATAGGGGGATTAAATAATTATTTCTATTACAGTAACAAATTAAATAATGAATTATGCGGTAGATATTTTGTTGAAAGCTGTAGAGCGTCCCATGTGGTCGAATGTGCGATTTCCATTTCGCACAGTATTCTAGTAGAGTCCACGTGTCCAAGCTCGTAAACACCTGCAAAATTCATACCAAACTGCAACAGTCACTTCCGGTTCGAACTTGGAGCTGGTCGAGCGAGATCTATGGGTCTAATGTAGTGCGATTACGGTTATGTGGAAAAGGTGACACTACTTTCGAACCGGTATGGAACTTTTCTGGAAACTTCGCAAGTACGAGTACGACTTTTTGACTTGGGCGATGACGTGAGTTATCCAGGTAGACCCTCTGCCTCAGACTTCTGCCTGGAAGCATGAAAACATTGTAAAATAACGCATCTGCATTCTGCAAAGAACGGCGACTGTCCAGTTAGAGATCTCGGTTAGAAGTAAGCGATTACAATACTACCGGCACTGTCGGTGAGTGAGTGCAGCACTACCACCGCTACCCGGTTAGCAGAGCCAGAAAGAAAATTATTTACACTGTCCGCAGCACTGAACCGTTTGCTTTTACGCGCTGGAAGAGTTTCTAATTGTCCACATACCCGCCACGACTGCTCATCGATTTCGGCTGCGCGACACAGCGCTCCGTGCTGGTAGAGTACCGAACGGTGTTCGACTTCCGCGACGTGCCGCCAGCGAATAAAACCGGGCCAAATAAATTCTGCAGCGTCCCGGTAGGAGCCGATTATGGGGACCTGGAAGTGCTGATGCGCATCCATCCTGACCAGCCCCTGGGTTGGTATCCCGCTAAGCTCCTCCTGTTCAACATCGACTATCGTTTAGGAGACGCCCTGGTAGAGGTTCTTCTGGCGTGGCAACGCGTCCGTGAACTGCTTTCCGAAGAGCGGATTCGGCCGCCGTCTTCGGAAGAAGACTTCAAGCGACGAATGATTCAACCGGGTCATTTCGTCATCCGCACGTGCAGTGTACCGGAAGGGTACTGGGTGAGGGAAATTCGTGCAGCGAAAGAATTATTCCGGCAAAAAATGGAAGGTTCATACATTCAAAAAGGAGGTACTGGAGTGAAAAGAAAAACGGTTGGAAAAAGAAAAACCAATGGAAAACGAAGTAGTGGAGAACAGGATTGCGCATACTATCCGTTCTCAGTCAGACGATCACTTACAGCAACGAGGCGACAAATCACCGGTATCGGATATAGAAGCAGTAAGTTGTAGTGTAGTACTCGCTGTTTGCACAAATAAAAGTTACCAGCACCGGCTTTTTTGAATATCGAAATAAACGGATTCGCTGACGTGCACAATATGTGTCAATTGCTCGTTGTCCCACAGGCTGATTTGTTCGAAGAGGCTATCCGAGACGCAAAAACCGTGAAATCAAAACTTGCGACTGGTGGAGAGCTGAAACCGGGAGAACCCAAGCGAAAGGCACCTTTAACCGTTGACGGCCCCGGTTTAGCTTTACCACCGGAGCTTATTACGGAAATCTTCGAGACACTGGACACCGTGGAGCGGCTGCGCTGTCGACGCGTCTGCCCTTTATGGAATAATATTCTGACGTCGGACGAGCTGTGCAAAGTGTTTTGTTTATCGCAGAAAGACGAGGCGTACGAGAAGTTGAACTGCACTAGAGCTGCGTACACCTGCGTCTTCAAGCACACTGCATCGGCCACGCGGACTATCTACATTCGGGGAGCCGTTAATCACGACACGGTATGAAGTTTTTCAGTTATTTCTAACATTTTGAACAAATAAATATGAGCGTAAAAATACTTGTAAATAGTACTTCTAAATACGCACAGAAGGTGAACCCGCCAAATTCTACTGTTTTCTCTTAAATTCATTATAATCCTCCCAGCACAAATTTTCACTAGATGCTCTCTACAGATATAATGATCGCATGATATATTATTATACTAAAAGGAATTTGAATGGTACTTTATTTCTTTGCTGTCAACATTTGGTGGGATGCTATTTGCATAGGTCATTGCAGAATATTAAAGAAGTTTTGTTTAATTAATAATACACGAGCTAATTAGGGATGGCTCGAAAGCCGCATCCTTTAAAGGAAAATTCATCAAGCACGCAAGGAAAGTCTTGCAAACAATCAACATCCGCATTGACCGATTAATTATATGCCGCCGATCGCTTTCCCGCGAACACGATGGTATGTGGGGCCTTCGCCATTACTTCCAAAACAGCGCGAAATTATATTCCAAACTGGCGTCCTGTTGCGGTCGTGTGATTTGGAAGGATTTTCAGCTGAACTACGACGACAGCTTCAGTACTCCCACAATGAAGTTTCGGATTCCGCACGCTGCTTTTTCTCCTAGCGGCCTCACTAAAAAAGCGCTTTGGTAATTACTCGCAGAACACTTGGACCGGAATCAGCCACTTGATGTGGAGCGTATTGCACAGTGGACGGCCAAGTTGGTTGCACAGCCATACAGGGATGCCTGCCAAAACCTGATCAAGGTATCTGCAACTGAACAGCAGAAATTATTCGCGCTTTTATCAGTTGGATTGCTAAGAAATCATAGAAATACATAGAAATACACAGAAATACATAAAAATACGTAGAAACACATAGAAATACACAGAAATACATAAAAATACGTAGAAACACATAGAAATACAATATCGAAATACGTAGAAATACGTAGAAATAGAAATATGTACATAGAAATATGTAGAAAGTATGAAGTACAGATCTGAAACATGAAAATGAGCGAAAATGAATTGATAGCACTAACTGCATGCCTCTTTTGTTGTTACCTGTAAAGCTTGTGAATGTGTATGAAGACCACTGTCCGGAATGGGATGCGGACAACCATCCCGCTAAGTGGACGCTGGACAATTTGGACGTCAGAAAGCTGAATAAAATCTGCCTGCATGTGTGGTCTTGTCATATTCAGAGCTGGATCGATGCGTCATTGGGAGCCGTCAAAGCTTTCCGAAGTCGAAGACGAAGGGAGCGAATGTCATTACGCTACAGAATGAATTAGGAAATTGCTGTTGCACCTGTTAGCAAGTGAAAATTTCGGTAGCTATCTCAGCCATATTTCTTAACCAGATGGTTGTGCAGAAACAAGCTTTTCACGCCGATGTTTAAAAGTCGTTAAGCCAGACAATGGCAAAAAACAAAAAAAACTTTAACGAGTGAGCGCGTACCTAGCGAAAGTTCCGGTAATTTTATGCGAATTTAATTCTATGCACTGGGTTACTTGACCGTTGATACTGTACTGCCAGTATTGGTACAATTCAAGTTCAAAACAGCGTATTTGCCTCTTTCACATAAGTTATTCTTTGCAGCTGTTTTAGAAATTGATCAACAAAGTAATTCAAACAGATCGAAAATTCAAAATATCATCGCATTATGACAGCTGAAAAATCCATTATAACCAGTAACCACCACAACATGGTGGCAAAAACTGCGTTTAGCACCGGCAGAAATAGAACGGGAAAAATAGTGCGAAGGTTAGCTTAACGCACAGCGGTACCAGCGCGTGTTACCTGCAGCTTTCGCAGGCGGTTGATATGCTGATCGGCGTCGCCAGTTCGTTGCTGAGATTCTGCGGCGTCCAGCGTTGTTTCACGTTAGTTATGACCATCACCGTGGCGGCGGTTAGATACTGACCGATGCACGTGCCCATAGAGCAGGCTGATGTGCTAGGATTGTCGAAATTTATCATGAGATAGCCCCAACTCGTCCTGTCTGACGACATTTCACAACAGACTGCCACGGCGCTAGAACGGCCGCTGGTTCATGGCCAAGCGGGGAAGTAGTTCTCGCGTGAGTTCCAGTGGGAGGGCTGTGGCCATTTGGAAGGTTCCAGTGTCGGTAGCCCCGCATCACTACAACGCATGGTACCATCGGAGAGGGATCGGCGGGCGATTAATATACCACAGCTGCCGCATCAGAAGTGCACGCAAATCCGTTTCCATCTCTCTCAACGTCTCGTGGGTGGCGGTGACATCAAGCGCGACAGTATTATCGTCGCGTAGGGGACCACAACCGGAAAACAGACAGTTGCGCCACTGTATGGACTCCACAGCGGCTGCCACGTCGACACACGTCCTGGCCAACAACTCTACTTCCGAGGAGAAGCGTTCATCTCCCAGATCCCAACGGCACCTATACGCCATCACCTGATAAACAAAAGCACCTGTACTCCATCACCTCGATAAAGAAAAACAACTGCCGCGTGAGACAGTATCTGGTTAAAGTAATGGGTGACGAAAGAGGCACCCAATAAACCCCGTTCACTATTGGCACCCCTTTTCTGCACCCCGTTAATTAAAGGCACCTTTATTTTATTAAATGATTTCTTTTGTACACCCTTGTTTTTATAGGCACCTCTTTGGAGCTTTAGCATATAATTGCAGTGTCAGGATTCCGGAGCTAGATACGTCAACATTATTATTAGTATGATCGCTAACGTATTGTAAGATGGCTAAGCACTTAACGATATTCCGAAAATATTATCAATATTAACCAATATTATCAGAGCGTACGGTTTCTATAAAAGTTGAAACGAACCGAAACTGTTTAGCAGAGTTGCTGGATAAAAGAGGAGGCACCCGATGCCCGAAAAAAACCGGCACGTAAGGAAGTACCTGTAATCATCTCGTAAAGTAATTGCACTTTTATGATTAAAATTAGGTGGTTTAATTAATAATCAAAGAAATGAATTTAAGTTACGTAATTAAAGGAGCCAAGTCAATTAAACCTTCCAGACAGGAGATTCAGCGAGGAAGCGCGGCATCGGTTTTGGGAATAACGAAGGAGCAGAAAAGTTTAATTAAATTATGATGATTGTTGTAAAATTGTGATGTTTTCAGTTATTGTATACAACGTTGTATCTCAGCTAAATAAAAAAGCACACAATATAATATAATATATGTAACATAAAATAATATAAGCTCATGGTTCATCCTTCACAATACGAATGGTAAACGATGGTAAAAGAGTGGAACGGGGTACTAATAGTCTCACAATAATTAATTGAAAGGGCTGTTTTCTTAGTTTAACCCTAATTAAATTTACAAAGACGCTAGCGCACGTTCCCGGTGGAATTACCTGCAGCTTTTGCAGGCTGTTGCCGCTCTGCTTGTAAACAGCGCCGATCAGCAGCATGCAGTCCCCGAACTCCTGCATTGTCATGCTTTGTCTGGCGTTGTTAATCACGACCAACTCTGTGGCGGCGGTTAAATGCTTAATGATGGACATGCCCATCGAATAGGCTGCCGTGCCGGCGTCGCGGAAGTTCAGCGTCAGGCGTTGGCGGATGTCATCCTGGTGGAAAAGCTCGTTCCACAACGGGCTGACGCGGCGGTAGAATGGCCGCTCATTCGTACCGAAACAGGAGAGAATCTCTTGGAAGAGCTCCGGTGGGAATGCGTCGGCCAGCGGGCTGGATGGCTGAGCCGTTGTGGGATACAGAGGACCTCGAGTACTTAGCTCGACGTTCTCTGGAATCCACTTGCCGTCGGCGAAGGTCCAGCCGGCCTGCAGCCGGCGCGTCAGCTCCGATTTGGCCATCAAATTCAGTCGATTCTATAAACGTTTAAACACGACTGCTCACATCCGCTTACGACTCCTATTTATTATCAACAAATGTTCATTTATTTGATTACCATGAGTATAGAATTATAAGCAGCAGGGAAGCACACTCTGCGGCATGACTTTTTATTCGGAAAAAGTGTAGCTTATAATTTTCGAAAGATCCTTTTGGGGGGCTCTAGTATCGCGGGGCTTTTATTGTTTCGGGGAGGGCCTTCATAAGAAAAAATTTACCCGATCTGTAATTGTTTTTACTGCAATTAGCGCATTACCTGAACATTTTCATTCAAAGGGATATAACTGTAAATCTGTAAGTTGTTTTATAATGATCGTGTTTGCTCGTACCAGCACTTCCGTTAATATTGGCGTCAACTTTGACGGCCCAATTCCATCCTGAAGATACAATAGGCACTCGTTGTTCACACCGATGGGGTACAAGATGCTGGCATAGGCCGACTTCAGCGCGTCCACCCAGATGCTCCACAACTCCGGCTCCACTGTCCGCCCCTCAAGGTACTCTCGCGGTAGGGCGCACACCTGCGTGACGTAGTCCTTTGCGTCAACAGCGCGTTCCCCCCGATAGCGCTGCGCCAACCGCACCACGAGGGGGCTGACGAATTTCGCCACGACGTTCTCACCCAACCGGATTCCAATGTAGGCATATTTATTCCACAAGATCCGGCGCGCTAAGAACACCGCCGGGTACCACATCCACGGGCGATCGGCAGCCGTCCGCGTCAGTACCTCAAAGCCGCCCAGGGGCTCCTCGTTGCGCGACGCCCAGTGGTAGTCAAGGCCCCACGAGTGGGTAGCGGCGCAAAACTCGTGCCCGGAGCAGCAACAGTGCAGCGCCCTTTCTAACTCGATCAACTGCGAGCGTCGATCGGCAACGCCGAAATCTATTAACAGACCGCCGTTCACAGTGTTGGTGACTAGACCGCGCTCGAGGAATCCTTCAGCATTCTCCACGTCCACCGCGTTCCACTGGTAGATGTCAGTGTCAGGGTAAATCTCACAGAAGGGCGATGAGTTCACATGATCTAACGATTGGATCTCGTGGCTGCTCATCACGCATAAATATGGTTACGGCATTACAATGCATATACAGTGCAATTACATGTACACTGAAAACAGTAATTAGACGGTACGGGTTCGTAGCTCCCATACCAAAGAAAAATGTGGCCGCACTGGCCCGTACAAATGCACCGCAATCTTATAGGATTTTGCGGTTCTATAACAATTAAACGATGAATACATTAGTAAATAATAATGAAATGCACCATTAAAAGATAAACAATTCGATATAAAATGAATCAATTCTAATTTAGAATTGATTTGATTTTAGAATTCTAAACACTGAAGTCCCTGGATGCTGTTAATAATGTTTATAGTACGTACTGTTTATTCTCCCGATGGTGCTGTGCCATGTGCTCGACAGCCACCAAAAAATTTTATGTAAAAAGCTCCTGCTTGTAGCGGACGTCATCACGCGTCCTAAGGCTAAGCGCACGTATCCGCGTATGCGTGCATGTTATGCACAAGTATGAAGACTTAGCGACTTTTTAAAACTGAAGCAATTCCAGTCGATTCTGCTTTCACAACATAACTGGAATCTAGAATATTCTGGCACCAGAAGTGAACTCGCATAGTTATGTGCCAAAAGAAAATGAAAAAGCAATTACAACTGCTATTAGCTCTTGATATAATTAACAAAAGTGAACGTTTTTTCCTAGTCTTGCAATATTATTAAAACAAACAGAATGCCACTGAAAAGCAATTCAATTCTTTTTATTCAGACAAATACATTCGGGTACCACAATGTCTGTTGAGCTCATCGTGGGTTTTCGCAAACTGCCTCAAGGCAATAAAATCTCAAGATAATATCATGTTCTTGGAATAATTTGAAAAAAAAACTTTCAAGACGCAAGACCCATGGGTCGCGTTTAGTTCTAAAAAATCCAATAAGTTCTATACATGGCTGTTCTTTAACTGCAAGTCAATCTACAGGCCAAAGTGTAGACATTTTAATCACAGCGTACAGCATAGTTTATCCCATAGTGAACTACATAGTTGATCCCACAGTTTATCCCGCAGAAAATCAAACAGTTAACCGCACAGTTCGTCCAGCAGTAAACCCCACAGTGTATTCGGTAGTTACTTTGCATAACGTTTTCACGTACAGTTAAATCCGTAGTAAACAATACAATATGTTCAACATAACATCTCAAATTTTTTATTTTATTTTGCATTATTTTTGGAGCAATATTTTTTGCAGTATTTTTTAAAACTGATGATTTATTAACAATCACTTCTGCCACTAATTTGCGCAACAACTTTAGGTAATTTGTAAACGCTATTATTAGGAACACTGGCAGGCATGTAAAGTAAATTTCTTTGTTTTAACGAAGTTCCGGCATGTTTGTTCCGGTAGTTCCGTCATAGAAATCGAATCTACAGCTATGTGCTTAGTCATAAAAGTACTTGATTTATGATGTTTCGTTAATGTTTTGATCCCAATATTAACTCAGAAACTGTTTGCAGATATAAATTTTATTGAAGTTTGTGTTTATAAAGAATTATATTGAATACTAAATGCGAAAATTCAACTGTTGTGAGGTCACTTATGTATTTATTTAACATTGCAAATCACAAATCAAAAGTGCAAGCGCGAGTCGGCAACTGCATACAAACTTCAGTAGTTGTTTTGTTTGTGAAATTGTATAAGCGAGTATCCCTCTGAGACTACAAAATATTGCAAAATAAAATAAAAACAATTCGAGATATTATGTGGAATATATTGTATTGTTTACTACGGATTGAATTGCACGCGAAAACGATACCCAAAGAACTCCGGAATACACTGTGGGGTTTACTGTTGGAAGAACTGTGCGGTTAACTGTGTGGTTTACTGCGGGATAAACTGTGGGATCAACTACGTAGTTCACTATGGGATAAACTATGCTGTACGCTGGGACTTAAATGTACTTATACACTTTGGCCTGTAGATTGCTTTCCCGTTAAAAGAACAGCCATGTCTAGAATTTATTGAAATTTGTAGAATAAGCGACCAAAGGATCTTGTCTTTTGAAAGTTTTCTTAAAATTATTCCAAGAACGTGATATTATCTTGAGCTTTCATTATGTTGAGGCAGCCTGCAAAAACCCACGATTACCTCGCAAAACTGTGGTACCCGAATGTATTTGTCTGATTAAGAATAATTGAATTGATTTTCAGTGATATCCTGTTTGTTCTAATAATGTTTCAGGACGAAGAAAACATGTTCACTTTTGTTAATTCTATCATGAGCTAGTAGCAGTTGTAATTGCTTTTATGGCACATAGCTGTGCGAGTTCACTTCTGGTGACAGAATATTCTAGATTGCAGTTAAATTGTGAAAGCAAAATGGACTGGAATTGCTTCAGTTTTAAAAAGTCGCTAAGTCTTCATACTTGTGCATAACATGCACGCATACGCGGATACGTGCGCTCAGCCCTAGGACGCGTGATGACGTCCGCCAAAAGCAGGAGCTTTTTACATAAAATTTTTTGGTCTCGACAGCCTACTCAGCGGCTGTACAGTAAATAGATGAAAGACAGAAGAGATACAGAGCAGGGAGAATGTTCAGCTTGACTTCCGGCTGCACATGGTAAAAATGATCACAGCGGCACTCTAGCCAGTAGCTGCATAGCACTGCACTACTGCAAGATAATCAGCTTTTCCGTCTTGTTCTGATTCTTATTCATCCCCAGCTAACAACGAGCTCCGTTTCAGCTCATCGGAGAACAGCAGAGACCTATGAACAAGAATCCCGAATTAAGGACCCGCTTTATAACACAGCATTTGCTTATACCGGACTAATGACCACCGACGGTCACTGCAGATAGACAGCAATTAATTGTATTTCTAATGAATAACCTCTGTCTAACCGTCCGGGTTATCACACCGATAGGCCGAAGTTGCACTTGCATATTGGTTATTCCTCAGGAATGCATTTATTGCTGTCAATCTGTATTGACAGTCGATGGTCATTAGCCCGGTGAAGTAAACCTGTCTCGACATGCAAAGTAGACTTCTAAACAATACACCTGGAAATTAGCAGATGCATCCTAACTATAATCGGCGCGTCCCGCTGACTACAACATAGGGGGATCATGTAAAGGGAATACAGCTGCCAATAGCCCAACATACAAACATACAATTTGCTAAATAGGTTTTTTGTACTCATAAGGTTCATTCGAGTACTGTAAAACGCTTCCCTTTTTCTTTTGTTTTTGCTGACCAGTGGTCAGTTTTCTGACCACTAAAATACTCCTGTTTTGTAGTGCTCTGGAAATGCTATTTAATGGGCATTCTGGGTTTTGTTAATTGCTGTTCGTATATGTTCTAGAGTATTAAATATTTTCTATACTAATGACTGTGTATACCCAACGGTGTAACCTGACACACTGTTCACCGCCGGCGACCTATGGTCAGTATAGCCAAACAGAAAAATTCTCTTTCTTTATGGAAAGTTTTCATCAGGAAATCTCGATTTCCAAGGAGAAACTTGCACTAATTCGAGTACCGAGCGTTCCCGGGTTAACCGGGACCAAATAACCATGGAAAGCTACCTGATGCGCTGCTGGCTAGTTATGTCCAGCCTTGAAGTACTTGTACGCAATACAACGAAGCATCCAAGATCGGTAGTTTTGTTAGCGGTAAAACGAGCCCTCCAGCGTACACTACCCGAGTGCAGAGATTCGCGCTTGTATTACTTATCTCAGTTATCTGTACTTTGACTTAAGTACTGGGTGTACACATAGACCTGGGTAAACAGTAAACTTACACAGCCTTACGTTACTTACAATATTGACTCGGTAATATACGTGTACAACCCTAGTTACACTCGTTAAACGTGCGGAAACACCCATTTACGTTTTTTAAGGGTGCCTTACGCGAGCTTGCGTCGAAAATATGAAGCGTGCCAGAAGTACTAGTATAAATTAGATACCAAACTGACTGCAGAATGCCCAAGCTCCAAAATTTTCCCGAGAGTTCAAAATAGTTGAACAGAAAAATGTATAGAAACCCTCAAAAGTGACCTTATACAATGTGTCTACACATTTTTAAACACGCGAAGGTTCAATGTTCAAATTTATATAGCAGGAACAAAACAACTATGGACTTGCAACATAAAATTATTAAAACGATTCTGTCGCTGCAGTGTCGCATCAAGAACAAGCAAATCCAGGAAATCAGCATCGTCCACTGCGGAAAATTGTCAAACGGGTCATGGCAGGCCTTTGCGTGCAGTCGCGGTTTGACGCTCGCTATTCCGCTTAAACCATTCCATTTCCCGTGTCAACGCACACAGCGTAAGCGTGGTCAGCGTTTCTAGGTCCACAAAGCGCAGCTCCTGGCGCGGCCATTGGTACAGCGAATTGGGCCGATCAAGCTCGTAAGATATCAAAATCTGTAAGCACAAAGGACACGGCTACAGTCTACGCTCACTGCGACACCGATTACAATTCCAGAAAATATTCCCGTTCCGTCACAAATCATCGCACAAAGCGGAACAAAATAACTCTTTAAAAGCGGCCATACAGGGTCTGACTGTCTGACGTTCGTCTGACGCACAAAACAGTTAAGCAATCGGCCCGGCGGAAGCAGAATACCGTCATAAATTGTCCCTTACATTACAATTTTGTTATCTCCAAACATTACCTCGGAAACGGCGCGAAGCCCGGATGAGCTATGGCCGACGTCGATACATTCGCCAATCCATTTTACCAGTGCCGTAACGCTGCTGTCCCGGGACGGCAACTGCCTCTCCACGAGCGCGTATAGTGCCTCCACCATCCGGGCACGATCCGTGTCCAGCGGGATACTATCGTGGACGACTAGCTGCTCGCCAATGCGTCCACCAAGCCCCGATAAAATGCAGTTCTTCCACACTACGCTCGTCACAGTCGTGGCACACTCCTGCAGCACCGCGGCCATTTTCTGCACTTCTTTGTGGAGGTCAGCACAACCGCCAAGATTCCAGCGGCAATGACTGCAGTATATATGAAGTTTCCTCGGCTGGCGCGGCTGCAGATGACTGTACATCGCCGCC